TCAGTACCGCAATGCAGCAAGCGGGCTTGAATTAAAGACCATCATCCCCTTAGCTGGGTGTTGCAACAGATGGTGGTGATCTATAAAGTTCTGTGGCGAAGGGAGGCTGAGGGGGAGCCTGTTCAGGGGCTGTTGCTCCTGAAGGATGTGAATGTTCTCCAGTTCTTGGTTGGGCTTTTCTCGCTCGCATCTCCCGTGTGATAATGTGGGAGTGGTGCGCTTGAGTCTGGGCTTGATTTGACTTCAGCCATCTGAGTTATCTGGGCCAACTCGGAGCGGGAAAGGCTCGTTGTGAGCCCAGAGATGTGGCAGCATGTCCAAGGTGGGAACCTGAGAGCTGGTACCAACGTGTGCGTATGCAGGATGCCACCCTGCTAAAAATACTCCTTCCTCCTTCTGATGCTGAAACCCCTACGTGGTTTTTGGCTCTGCAAAAAGAGAGGATTGGATGTCACCCGGGGGTGTGCAGGGAGGTTCGGTGTGATGGTTTGCTTTGGGAGGGGACCTGTGTCTGCTCGGACCATGTGTGCTGTGTGCCGTGGTGTGGGCAGCTCCCATTGCAGGCCACGCTCTCTTCTTCTTCCGCTGCCTTGGAAGTGCTGCAGAATGTCACAGACACAAACCAGCGAGCTGGTGTGTCAGCCTTGCTGCTGTATTGATGTTTGCTTAATGAGAGTTGGCATCTGGAGCTGCTTATCCTTTGCCCTTGAGTATAAAACAGCACTTTGACTGCAACGGGCGCTGGTGTTCAAAGTCATGATCAGGCTGTGAAGGTATGGCAGGAGAGCTGGTGGGAGGAGGCTGTTCTTCATTGTGGGATTAGAGACTTTAAGCCTTAGAGGAGCCCATTCCACCTGAATGCATGTAGCAAAGCACCAGTAAGGGGACTGGGGTAAGACTATGCATTCCCCCTGCAGAGAGGGCTGGATTTGGGTTTCTTCCCACCCTGTCTTGAGTCAGCGTGGAGGACAAGGTCATGCTGGCCAAGCAGGTGCCCTGGAGAGCTGTTTGAGGTGGTTGCAAGTGGCATCACCTGCAGCCCTCAGTGTTTGGGTAGGTGGGCAGAGGTGGTGAGGTCAGCATGGCTGGGAAGCCTCGTGGAGTGGGCAGGGGGAGAGCTCTTAAGCCCACGCAGATTGGCCACCTGCCTCCCAGGGTGATGCTTCCTATGAGACGTGGCTTGAATACAGGGGAGCAGATGCGTGAAATGGGAGAAGAGTCTGTCTGGTGGTTCCTGCTACCTTCCCGCCAGCAGAACTGTTCACCTGGTAAATCTGGTGAGAATTTTGTGGGATCCATTAAAGCTGTTGCAAAACCTGGTGAGAATCGGAACATGAGATGTTCCAGCTGGGACAACCCTGAAGGCCCAGGTTGTACCATGATAGGTCTGCCTGCATCCTCCCTGCGTGGGGGTAACACCGCAGATCATCTCCTGCTGGGGAACAAGGCCAGTCTGTCACGTTCGTCTGTCTCTGGTCCAGTGTCGACATCAGAGCTTGATTTCAACCTGCTATGAGTTGGCCAAGAGTAACTGGAAACGTCTTGTGGGTAGCTCTTCTGAAAGCCATGCTGCAGAGTGAGCTCTGGGGTGACTTTCCCAAGGCAAGGCACAAACATAGCTCAGATTGCTCTCAGATTGCTTTGGGAGGGTCAGGTGGCATCTCAGATGCTTCCAGACCTTGCTGTGAGCCCTCTGTCTCTAACAGGAGGAGGAAGCCACTCACTGGCAGTGGTGTCTGGCAGCTGAGAAGCAATGTGCTTATCGACGTGATCAAAGGTCCTGATGCAGGACAAGCGTTAATGGGCAGAGTGTTTCTGCTGCAATTCTCTGAAGTAGAGACTGACCCCGGGACATGGGAGCAGGTTCCCAGGGGCTGGGGATGTCCTGAGAGGGTGGGTGGGCTGTGAACTCACGCGGCAGCCGAGCTTGTTCAGGCAGCACTGGGGGGTCCAGCTCTCTGCTGCTGCTGCAGACAAGGCTATACACCTCGTTTAGCGGGCTAACGGGCTTGTGCCGAACATGTCTCTCCTCCCAGGGATGGTGGGATGCTCAGTGGGATGCCCAGCTCCTTGTGGGGTGGGAGGCAGCAGAGCTCTCTGCCACTCATCCCTGTCTGGACAGGGACACCCGAGTGCATAGGAGAGCATCGCTGCCACAAAGGTCTCTGCTGTCAGCCTGAGTGCCAAGGCTGATCCACGTATTGGGAGGGGATATTGCTTCATTTGGGAGAAAAGTAGAGAGGGTTACCTCTCGGGGAGCTGAAATCACAGATGTTAAGGGCTTTCACACTGCAAGGAGGCCAGCTCGGGGACTTCAAATGCAATTACATCTGGGAAAAGCACTGGGGTAGCAAGGAGTGTGCAGTAGTGCTTAGAGTAAGAGGAAAATGTGCTTCTGAAATGAAGGTGTGACCCGATTCCTTTGCTCCATTTTTCCACGCTGTGCGTGTTTTCATGAGGCACTGCTCCTGCACAAATCCACATACAGTACCTGAAGCAAGTCTGAACCTGAGGTTTTGCTTTCTCCCAGTGCTTACATGTGTGCTTTCTCTCAACAGCTATCAAAGTGAGCTGTGTTGGATCCTGTGGGGTGTCTAACAAGATCAATGACACAGCATGGACCGTGGAGGAGCAGTACTTTAACAGCACGCTGTCTCTGGCAGACAAAGGTAAGGTCCACAATGACATGGTGGAGATCTGTGATTCTGAGATGGTCTACAGAAATGTATCGCCAAGACTTCAGCATCTTCTTGATGTGAAATACCCCTGCACAGGCTGCCTTGGCCTGTGCACAGAGGATGGGAGCCAATGTTAGAGACCCCGAGAGCTTAGAAGGAGCTGTGCAGAGAGACATCCTGAAGAGCTGCAGAACTTGGCAGCCACCCTGCAAACACTGCTTGCATCCTCTGGCCCTGCTCTGCCTGAAACAGAGCTGCCAGCAGCGACTTCTCTGCTGTTTCAAGGCCGTGTGGGTTCACTCTGTTCCGCTTCCTATGTGTGTTGTCTGTGGTGGTCACAAAACACTGAGCAAAGCTGGTCAATAGAAACCGGTTGCAGGCCAGGAGTAGTTTGTGCTGAAAGGGATGTGGAGGTGTCACTTGTCCTCCAAGAGAAACCGTGAGAGCATGGCAGGAACAGCCTCGAACAGTTACCACCACATCCCCTGCAAGCCAAGATGCCCAGAGATAGCAACGGGGTTGTATTATCCTGTGGGGTAAAATGACACCAGCAGCCTCTGGGGAATCTGGGCTCGAATGAATGCTGTCTTTCTGCTCTTAAATAGGTCAGCCGTACCACAAATAATTCATGCTGTACCCTGGCTCCTGTTGAAATCAAGACGTGCCAGTATTCACCTGCTGAAGGCAGTGGCTGGAGGCGCCACTGTAATGACCAGCCACTGTAATGACTGTAATGTGGCAAAGCCCCGGGGCAGCGGGAGCTCAGCCCTCTGATGCTGTTTTATCTAATAACAGGAAATGGGTAAAACTGAAGTGGCACTTTCTGCTCGCTCAGCAATTTTTCAAGCAGAGCTTTTAGCATTGAGGGGAGACTGACCTCATCCTTGCAGTAACTGGCGAGAGCGCTGCTTGGTCAGGTCCTGGAGAAGGGAGACAGCTGGCTGGCTTGCCTCTTGGCTTGGCAGGTAGCCCAGGGGCTGTAGTTGGAGGTAAACTGCCTCGGAGGGCAAGGAGAAATGTTCCTGCCTGATTTTTGGATGCGGCACTGAGCACAGCCAGAGACCCCAGCTGTGAATGTCGGGGTAGCAAAATCCCCAAAGCTTTATAAGGTGCTGCAGGCCTTTGAGCTTAGATGAGTTGGGAGCTGGAGGCTGCGAACGATTGTGGACTTCTGGAGAGGTTTAAACCTGCAACTGCACTGAAAAATGCACCTTCCAACTTTTGTTTCTAGTATTTAATGATTCAAGGGAGAGCTGTGATACTGTGGTCAGTTCTGTCCTGGTAAGGCTGAGCAGTGGCAAAAGCCAACCAGGAGATGGGAGTGAGAAGAGGTGGGTGTGCTGTTTGTTGGTTTTGCAGCCCCTGGGAGGTTTTGATAGCTGCTTTGGCAGTTGGTTCGTGTGAGATCGCCCTTGGGAGCCATCCCCTTGACAATTGGGACTAATGTGGGCTGGGAAGGATGGAAAGAAAATGCATTGATGGCTATGTGCTTTCATGGCTCTGATGTGTCCCCTTTGAAGGCTTGAATTCCAAAGATGGCCAAAATTTGGTTTCCCAACTCTTAAACTGTTCATAGAAAGCCCTAGTCTTTTGGCTCTTAATTTTCTGGGACCCAGGCTCTTGTATCTTGCTCAGTGCAGTGCTGCTATCTGTCAACTGCCGGTATTGCAAACTCTGCCAGCCTGAGACGTGAGCGGGTGCCCGGAGCTTGGGCGGCAGGGGTGGGCTGCTGGCTCTGCGATGGAGCCGGTGCGGAGCTGGCGGATGCCCAGCTGCATGCCTGCGGTGTGATCGGGACAGAACGGGCCGGCTGAAGTCTTCCAGAGCTACTGCAGCTCCAGGCAAGTGAGGGCAGAAATGGTAGTGCACGACTTACCAGAGATGTAATGAACTGAAGAGAAAAATCTCTTGTAGGACTGCAGGGTCCTGTGCTCGAAAGCTAAGGTGTGTGGTAGTATTGTTACCGTCCTGTCTTGCAAAACTCCAGTGCAATTAGGGGGAAAAGCTTGGTCACAGCTACCAGCAATCAATCTGGTGCAGCGTGCCAGGAACTTGTGTCAAAGTGGACACAACCGCTGGGAGCTCTCAGTCTCTGCCTTCCAGCTGCAGAGAAGCAGGTGTGGAGGGGGCAAGCAGTCCCTGTGTGTGGGATCGTGGCCAAGGGCAGCGCTCGTGGGGCATTCGCTCTTTGTGCGACTGGTACAAGCTCAGGAGTTATTGTCCTGGACTTGCCATGTTTGCCCCATGCCTCGAGGATGCAGGGGAGCGAGCGATGGGATGTGGGTGGGAGAGGGCAGTGCCGATGCTGCCTTTGGACCCAGGTCCTCCGCCAGAGACAGCTTTGAAACCGTTCCTTGCAATTGCTGCGCTGGCCTGTGCGGATATGGAAACAAAAGCCCTGGGGGCTGGCACCGCTCCAGCCTGCAGCGCGGGGAAGCGAGATAACTGTCTGCTGTCGCAGCCCTTGCCGTGACATTGATGCATGTCTGGGCTGGCGGAGCAGCGGGGAAGCTGGGCTGCTTCTCCGTGACTGCCTCCGCTCCTGCCTGTCTGTCTGCCTCCTTCCCTGGGGCTGCTGGCATCCTGGCACGGCACAGCAGGGCAGTGGCTGGGGTTTGCTAGGGGGGTCGTGCAGTGGCCTCGTGGTCACGAGCAGCAGAGCAGGGCCTCGGCACTGACTCAGCCACGGTGTTTTTAGGCTCCCCAGGAATAGCTCTCAGCTGCCCCGGCCTCTCTTGAACAGAGTGTGAAGGAGCTTCAGACGGACAGACGGTCAAAGCAGAGCTGTCCCTTTCCCTGTGACTCTGGCCAAGAGCATTTGGCAGGGATGGGCAGCTCTGGTGTCTGGCAGCAAAGCAGTTTTGGGATGCAGCTGCTTCTGGGGAGGTGCACTCGGTGCTTGTGGGTGCTCCCTGGGGTCCCTCCAGGCAGGTCTGACGCACAGCTGGGAGGGGAAACTGAGGCAGTCTTGTGCTCTTGGGGCATGGGGCATTGAGCTGGACTATGCTCTCCGCTGGGTGATGGCAGGAGCCCGGGGTGTGGCTGAGTTAAGGGAGTCGGAAGCGTTCCCAAGCCAGAACCCCCAAAGGAGCACGGGGCCAGCCTGGCTGCAGGCCCACACCACCGGTACACAGCTCCTTCCCTGGCCGCAGGCAAAAAGCAGCGAATACCCCAAGCGAAGGTTACTGCAGCTGTGGACAAATACTGCGGTGGTTCATGGGACGGACCTGCCACGTGCGTAAGAACATGCAGAACCCCCCCCGGAGTGAATACGTGCCTGTTCCTTCAGGTGAGGGCTGGCTGTGCCCACCCTTCCTTCTCACACCCTGAAAAGCAAACAGCAGGAGGGAGGGCAGGGACGTGGGAGGCCTCACGGTTCAGGTGGTTCACCCTTTCTGCGGTGCTGCAAGAGCATCTTGTCCACAAAGGGGGATGGAAAATGGAAAATGAATGGAGGAAGGGTAGGAATTTGCTTCTGCCTCAGAGGACTCTTCTGTTCCTGCATTCCCCTCCCTTTACAGCAATGCTGTTACCTCTCCTTTTTGAACCTGTGCAATAAAAAAAACAAAGGCAAGGGGAGCAGCGTGTCCCTGCCCGTACTGGGTCGGGGGGAGCAGCCAGGCTGTGCCCAGGGCTGGGGGGGAGCATGATGCCAGACTCCCCACTGGCACCATCCCCAGCCCTCTTGCCCGATAGCATCAGCTCGGGTTGAGGGAGGATCCCAGGTGTCCCCAAGGCCACACAGCCAATGCATCTCGGTCTTGTCCGTCCCTGGCGAGCGGCTCGTGGTCCAGCGGGGCTGCAGCAGTGCTGGCACCTGGGGGGACCGTGCAGGGAGGCAAGCACAGCCTGAAAACCAACCCGCCTTGCTCTCTTCCTTCCTACATCCTGAGCAGTAACTTTAAAAAACAGCCATCTGTGCTCTTTGAGGACACGTGGGGGGAAGGGAAGAGGAGGTTTGCAAAAATTATCAAGGCTTGGATAGCTCTTTAAGCATCTAAGAGCGACTCCACACTTCTCCACCCACGCACCTTTGCATTGAAATAAGTGAGGAGGCTGCTTATCCTCTGTAGCATCAGGTGTTGCTTGTATTACATGCTGGTTTTGTTGGTTTTGGTGTGGTTTTTTTTAAGGGTGTACATTGTATGAGAAAGGAGGCAGGTCCTGAAATAACCCAGATGCCCGTTTTGCAATATAAGGTGTTTATTTAAAGCACTGGCTTCATCCTTAATGTCCCTTCTCACCCCCTCTCGGAGCAGCATCCAGGATGCGGAGGGTTCAGCCTTGCTACTGGAGTATCTGCAGGTTGGTGACCGGTGTATTTGCTGCAGAGGACCCTGCCTGTGTCTGTGCTGGCGTGGTGCTTGTCTGTGCTCGAGCAGTGTGATGTCTGTGCTCCGGGAAAGCCTCTTGCTGGGGCTGAGCAGGAGCTGGAGGCAGCGGGCACCCGTGAGCTGCCCCGGGGAGCTGGGGGATTGCACATGATCTGTGCTGTAGCCTTGGCAGTAACACACAGGCCGGTGGTTTAATGAACTTGGGCTCTTTAGATAAAAGCTGCTGGAAAGTGCTGAGCGTACCAGCTGGTCTGGAGCCTTTCGCTGCTCTGTTTGCTGAAGGACCCAGTGCAGCCCCGGTGAGGTCGCTCAGCCCACGGGTGGTTCTCCAGGGAGGCTCATTATTTGCCTCCTGTATGAGAGGCTGAGGGGGGATTTGTTTTTCCCACTTAGCCTGAGTTTGACTTGGACGTTGTTCCCTGGTGCTGGTTTTTCTTGGGTCCTCTTTTTGCAAAGAAATGCAATAGGGGCAGAGGGGAACCTTGCAAGTGTTGGGGGCTTGGGTTTCTGTAGGTGTGGGCAGCGCAGGAGATCAAGCGCACCAGTTGCAGCGAGTACAAAATAGCACCGCTTCTACTCGCCGCTCTTGGACAGAGAGATGCTTCTCTTGATCCAATATAATGGAGTAATTCAGCTCTGCGGAGGCCTCCCCCTCCT